GAATTTCTCTTCCCTTTTTATTCAAGAACATGGTATCCCATAACATGCTGATGACTATTTCACTAGGCATATTGAAAGATTGTTTATATTGCTTTTTAAAATACGTTGTTACCAAAAAAGTTTAAAAAACAAAACATTTAAAAAATAATGAGTAGTTGATAAGTATCATAATCCCTCTTTGCATATTTGGATGAAACTTGATAGATTTGATTCTTGTCAGTCATGAGAGATAATTCAATTGGCGTCTCCCAGCAAACTTTATTTTTATTATTATTTATTTATTTTTAGATTCTAAGACTTGACTTTCATATCTAATATCTATAAAAATCGAAAGTAACGAAAAAGTTTAAGAAACTAAAAGTGTCCGGTAGTTGGCTAATCTAATAAATTATACAAAATACATCAAAAACATAGTTTAGTAAATAATTAATAAAAAGCTTTTTACATACATATGTTTTATTTAAGCTTGGTTAAATGTAAGTTGCTAGTCGTAACCAGTGTCGCCAGCGCTTTTCTATTAAAATTGAGCCCGCAAAACTTGACGGATTTACAAAAGGTTGCGTAAACAAAAGTAACTATCGTAACAGCAACCTGTATACATTGGTTCTAACCTATAATTGGTAAGAGCCTAAATTTCGCATTTTGATTTTACGATGATCCAAATGGCAGAATGCATGATTTATTAGAAAAGAGTATGGGGAATGTCATCAATTCCAAAGCAAGAACATTGTTTATCCTCTTAGTCACCGTTAATTCGCTCTCTTTTAACCTTAAACGCAACTGTAACTACTTCTACATTTATCACAAGTTGTAAGAAACAGTAGACGCCAGAGACAAGAATACAAATGTAATACACACTGTACTCTTTCCTAATAACTGGACTTTTACTATCGATGACAAAATTGTTAAACTTATCGTATAAACACTATATACAAGCTAACTGTCAAGGAAAGCTGATCTATTTGTTAAAACAAGTAGAAAATTTGCCAAAAAATATTTTCATTCTATGTCTATATTCTATTCTAAGTCTAAGTTTGACGTGCCGTAGTAATGAACCGGTAGGTAATGTTGACATATGTAATGAATGCCACGAGGAACGCACATAACAATTTTACGTGTTGGAAGCTGTATTGCAAATGTTGCATAATCAACTGATTGAATATTTTATAATATTCAGGTCGGTGAACTCTCTCCTCGTACAATTTCTATCGAATAATGTTATTCGTCACGTTTGGGTACCTCGTTAATGTCCTGTGGTGTTGGCAAATTCGCAATTAGTGCCGATTTTGTGTTGCCGCGGTTAATCAAAATGTTAATACTATCTTTAAAAACGATAGCTATAGTTCTCGTTTGGAGAAACAAGCTTGAGAAGCGATAATATGTATTGTTTGACTCCGTACTAGTTTACCTTTCTATTTACATCTAGCCGTCCAATTTAAGCAAAGATTAGTAGTAGTCGGCCTTGAAGTCTTTGTCACACTTGGATTCGTGCGTCACAGAAGTTTCGCGAAAACATTGCGAGCCGGTTTGGAGCAACGCTTTTTACAGGGCATTTGGAAAAGTTCGTATAACACTCGACGGGCCTATAACTTCATAGTTCTTGTGAATAAATAGAAATAGTTTTGCAACTATTAATAATAGATTTTTTCATTTAAAAATTATCGAATATTATTATGATTTGCTACAGTAAAATATTTTCATCATTTTCACAGAGTGGCATCTGTCATTATAGAATGACTATAACCCGTCACAATGATGAAAATATATTGCTATCCATAATAATTGAAAAAATATATATTTTTGCGAAATTTAAGGTATTTGTTTGCAAAACTTTGCTTGGTTTAAAAAAATTTCCACAGCAATTTGCTTGTTTATTTACAAAACTGCTATTATTTACAGACTTCTGTTGAAAATGTTACTGGAAATGAAATTCAATTCCCATTTCATATCGTTGTCTCGGTTCTTATTAAAACGTTGGCAATAAAAACGCGACTAGAGGCAGCAGCGCAGATTGTCATTAATATTTACTATTTGACCTAGAATTAAATTACCATTGCTGGAAAAAGCGCAGTGAGGTTACCTTCATTTCCAGGGTCGGGCTTAATAAGATGACTTTACACCATATTTATATTGCCATTATAAACAATTCGGTTATACAAAAAACTCATTTTGAGATATTTTTTAGCAGATAGTTTTGTATTGTATAAATACGCAACGTGCAATTTTTTGAATTTCTTTATTCATGTTTAACTATGATTATAGAAAAAAAACTTATTAATGGTACTAGTTTTCGGAAAACAACCAACATATACAAGATGTCCCACAATGAAGCTCCTTCATAATTTTAATCTTTTTCGCATCAAATGGAGATTTATTCCTTCTAGTCTCACAATTTCTAACATAATTATAAAATACCAAACTCTTGGATTTCAACTCTTTTTTTCACATTTCTTAGCTATGGAATGAAAGAAAGAATTACGCTCTATACATATACATGAAAGTTGCTCACACTGTCCCACCGAAGCCTCTTAAGTGCGGTATGATTGAAAGTTATAAATTTGGTTAATATAATTTAGTAGTAACGAGATTTTTAATTAGTTGTCATACTAAAGTCCTGCTTTTCACGATTTTCCTTTGCACTCGTCGGCATTAAAAGAAGAATGCACAACATTTTAAACTATTAATTAGTTTTAAAAATGATTTTCGGGTAAATTTGTGAAGAGCCTAAACCCCGGCGAATTTAACAAATAGTGGAGGATAGAAATACAATTCCCATAAAAAAATGCCACTTTCCGCAAATAAAAGAAGTGACTAAAACAACAAGTTGTAACGAGACTTTATCAAATCTTAGTAGTTTAATTAACAAGTCTCTCAGTATTAAGACTAAGTTATGATTTGTAATTCTTTGATATTGTCCTAAATTAGCGTTAGTCAGCGTCTTTAATAAACGAATCATAGGCTTGAGACGTAATTTTTCGAGTATTTGGGCCTCAGAGTAGTTCATGACTTTACTTCAGATAGTAAGCGAGAGGCATATAACAAGTATATTAGTACGTCAGGTAACATAATTACAGATGTAGAGAAAATAATTACTTATGAGAAACAATCACTTTGAAAAAGATCACTTCGATTATATTTTTGCAACTGAACTCAATTCATTTTTTACTAGCGTTGCTTCCGATATTTTGACGTCTTTAACAGTCAGATCAGAGATACAGAGAAAATGTCTGAACAATATATCTTTAGTCTCACTAACTTCCTTTCTCCATTATTATAATAATTAACAGTATTATTCTTAAAGAGGTAATTGAATTTATATTGACAGCCCTTACTTACCTTTTCAACAGATGCATCCTTGGGGGGAATTTATCTGAATAGGTTAAGAGGTTCAGTACCGATATTAAAAAAGAGACAACCTAATTTACCAAATAATTAGAGACCGATATCTACAGTTCCCCTACTGGAAATTTTTTTGAGTCATTAATAAAGAACCAGTTATCACGTTTTTCAGTAGTGCAGGGTTGTGGGAGACGCATCAAGGCAGACGGAATAAGTCATACCGGTCATCTAGGAGACAAGATGTGGTCTACAATAATGAAATATCGAAACTGCGAAGCGTGGATAGTAGCGTATCCCAGGGCCCTTGTCCTGGATCCGCTGCTTTATACTGTTATTGACGAACTATGTTATTTCTTGTCCCACAATAAATATGCATTTTTTTATGCATACTATACGTCGATTATTAGCTATGGCCAAAACAAGCAAGAATTAATAGAGCAAATAAAACAAGTAGAAGATAGGGATGAGTTATGGTTCTCAGTAATGCTCTTAAATTAAATGCAAATAACTCACAGCATCTTGTGTTCTCAACAAATAATAGCTTGGTGCTAGGTGCTAGTGTGGAACTTCTAGAGTTTTACAATAGATGATAGTTTGGGCTAAGCTTAGCAAGTGCAAAACACTGTCTTCTAGTATTTTTACAGTTCTTGAATTAAAAAAATTAATCGCTATGCTATGATGACATATTATGCTTTCTTTCATTCACACCTAACTTATCACCCAGCTTATAGGGATTTTAAACTTCAAAAGAAGGTAGTTAGAGTAATAGCGTGTGCAGGTTATCTAGAGCATTGTAAGCCCATTTTTAAAAGATTGAAAATCATGCCACTTCTATGTTTGCACATCCATTACCAAATGCTAGAAGTACATAGGAGTCAAGACACATCGAGGCTGAACTCGTTTTATCATGATCATCGTACCCGAAAAACGCAGCAAGAAATTTAAGCACACTAAATGCCAAAAACTTGGTTAAATGTAATCTAATCTAATAAACTTCAATAAACCATCAAAAGTGAAGCCATTGAGTAATAAAAAATTTAAGAGATATGTATAAAAGTTCCTTGTCCGTGTGGAAATACATGGGCACAACCATCATGACAGAAGATGCTAATTAGTTGTATGTATTTTTTTTTTAATTAATCTTACTTACACTCTACTGATTTATAAAATAAGGAAAATACAAGCGCTCAAATCCATTAAATACAGAAACAATTTTCTAAGAAGGAATTTTCCTACCTGGCTCTTAGAGCCTAAATACATTTTATGCACGGCTCATTTCTCTCCAGTCCTCTCTTCTCTCTTTACCGTAATAGTTTGTTAAACATTACAGATTGCCTATGATAGACTAGAATTGGCATGTTTTCTTTTTTGAAAACAATGCGTCATGTAACAACTAAACCTTTCTAGTTAAATTAAATCTTCAACAGCCCCATATTTGTTTTAAATATAGATGCTGAAAGTCCGATTCTTTGTTTTTTAAATTGTTGTTTTTTTATATTGTTCAAAATGTTTACGATAACAAATCTTTTATTATTAAGATTCTTATTATTTCAAGACCATGTACTGTTGTCTTTCTTAAAATTCTGGACATTCCCTATCTTTATTATCTTTTTTATCGATTGTAAAAAAAAATGAAATTTTACTTTAGTAATGAAACTCACCTGAATCAAAGCCTGCGGCTGTAAAGGTTGCTGGTTGTCGAATTTGTCGGCGACCTCGCTCAGAAGTTCCAGGTCCTGTTCCAGCTGCCTACAGGAAGCACTAGCTTGGACGTAAGCAGAGGCTAACAGAAAACTGCCCAAAACAAAGGACACTAGCACAACGGTCACCGCTATTATTTTTGCGACTTGTACCGCCGAGCTTTGAGATTTGTGATATGCCTGGAATAAAGATTAACTTAATTAGGCAAGATGAAGTCAAAATGGCAACTGCAGGCATGTTATTTGCGAAGATAGAAATTTGTGAAGTTTCGGGATCAATTTTGCGCCACATTATTTTCGTTGGGTGTTCATAAATTGCTTTGACCTTGGCGATGGAACATTGGGTTGGAAACAACTGAACGCCGACGTCCCAAACGAAACCTCTCGCGAGACGTCTACGTGGCCTTCGCATGAATACCGCGGATTCCCACGGAAAAGTTTTGCAACAAGCAAAGCTGAAATCCAGCGTTTTATTATATTTAACTAGCGTCGTTTGTTATTCGTGTGTTAAATATTAGTTATTACTTCACTGTTCTTGAACTGTTCTACAGGATGTCTCATAAAATATCCGTCATATAGCAATAGAAATAACTTTTCGAAATTTGTCGGTAGATGCGATGCGATTTCTACATGCATTTCTGCAAATATTCTTTGCAAGGATTGCAAGAAATTTGACACATAAAAGTACCAGCTATTTACCGCACAATAAGAAATAACTAGAAAAATTACATTTTAGTGATGATAAATTAAAAAAATAGGGTAATAGGCCAAGTATCACCCAAAGGGCGATATTAAATTTAACTATTTTACAAATAAAGATATTACACGTGGAAATTTTAAACAAATAACGCTAGCAATAAAATCATACACCAGCAAACATAAAACACTTATAGTTTAACAAAAAAAAAACATTTACGGACATCTATGTAAGTAATCAATATAGGGTAGGAAAAATCTAAACGGAAAAAATGTTTAAGGAAGCGCCTTGTGGTGTTGAATAGATCCGATTTTTGGCTTATTGTTTAGAAAAATTCAACAATAGAAAATATTTTATTTTCGCAATACTATATAATATAATTTTAATGAGACCTAAAGAGACGAAAATTGCCCAAGAATTGGAAAACACAAAAAATAATATAATTATTATGATTTTCAGCTTTGTATAGTATTTCAAACATAAATAATCCGCATTTCTCTGGTTTCTAGTTTTACACCAACAAGTAGGTCTTTATGTCCGAACTCTAAAAACTATGTTTGTCAATTGTGTGAAATTAAAAAACTTTAGAAACAAAAATCTAAAGAAAATAATCGAAATAATTACATCGTGTGTACCGCAAAGAAAATTACCAGTTAAAAATACATGCACTTTTAAAAGCAACCAACATTTACCTCACAAAAATACTAGCCTCCATCTTCCACATTTTTTATGCAGGAGACCAATGTAAGTATTTCTTTCTTGTTAAATACTCCCAACAAAGTACTTGATATTCAATATTGACAGGCCATTCTGGCTATGCTGTGTTTATTTTTTTTACACTTACGCTTTGCTAAAAGATAAATTTTTATAATTTGCTTGATATGTGCGTGGAGAAGTAAATTATTTTCATAACAATAAAATGCTTAATTGCAATTACTTGCCAAAAAGCAGTTAATGTGCTGCTAAAAGGTTCAAGATGTAAAAATGAACTGCCGTTAGTGTCCTCAATTTTTTGCAACGGACTACGAAAATTGAAAATATTTCCCGTAGCAGTAATTAAATAAGCATTTATGCCTATTAAATAAAATTTATGGGAACAAATGTTAACAGAAGGGACTAGTAATTCCATCGTTGATATACATAATTGAATAATATTTAAAATTCATATATTCTACATACTGGCGGTGCCTCTGGCATGTTATTATTGCAAAATTTGTTTAACTATTTAGACACCGCAATTAAATAGCAATACAAATCAGTTGCTTAACTGAACTAAAATGTCGTATTACGTTACACATGCAACTAGCGAAAACATTAAAAATTAATGGCAAGAGTTATTTCGGATTTTTGAAACAATATGTGAAAAAAAAAAGACGTTGCTCATCCTGTAACAAAAATCTCTGAAAGCGTTTTGGAAGTAAATTTGTGTCGGATTGACTCGGTATATGGCAAGAAAAAATATCCGCCTAGCCAAAACTGTGGACAATAAATGTGTCCGTAAGCGTCCTATCAAGACAGATTTCGAATGTTAATTTTTTTTCATGCATGAAAACGAGTACCGACCAACGACTGCCACTTTAATAGCGAATGAAAAATTTCTCAGCGGTTTTGGCAAATCATAATTTCGTACCTGGTACGAAGTCACACGAGTCAACCTCGATTGGCTAATAATAATTGTTTTACTTGTTTACATATCATTTAAATTTGCCATGGTGTTTTCGTTATTTTAGCATAAAACGGCGATTTAATTTTGCCCAGAGCTCAATTATTATTATTCCAGACATCGAATATGCTTATTTTTGTGAGATTTTATTTTTGATTGAAATTGAGAGAATTTAAGTAAATTAAATAAAACAAACTTCTCGGCAATTTCTGACTTTCTATAGCTCATTGTTAGTATAAAAATTCGTAACTTTCCTCGACTATTAAACAATCGTTCTTGTATCGTACAGTGTGCGTTAAAGGAAGGAAGTTTTCAAAATTGTTTCGCAATTAATATAGAAATTATAACTCTTGCGATTGTCTACCGTTTTCAGTCGAAGATTATTTAATTGTAATTGCATTTCATACGGATACGTTCTACAGCTTTAAAATGTTCCTGATCAGAATAAACAATCGCCGGGCTGGGATTTCCACCGTTAAAATTCTTGCAATGAAAAATTCAATTCACGGATGGAATTTGTATTCCCGCACTTATCTTTTACGCGGGATAATACTCCCACATCAATTTCGCACGCCTGAGGACAAGTACATGTTATTATATTTTTTTCATTATTTTGCATAAAGCTCAGTTTTTTTTTGTTTTATTTTATTGAACCCTACTAATTTAGTATCGATTTGAAAACAACTCAAATATTTTATATAACTTTTTAGTCACCTTTTGTAGAAAGTTACATTATTTTTCAGATTTTGTAGGACTAAAAACAAGAAAATTAGCTAAGTTAGAAAACATACCCTGCGGGAGGTTTACCGTCCTTTGTCGTCAGTGCTCGTATTAATCTGCGGCTGTGTTCTGTTTATAAATAATCACATTTGTCAAATAAAAGGCTCGAATTTGGTCTATATTTTTAAAAAAATAATCCCGGCAAGGTATTTGTTGATTTACTGCGAAATTTAGTGCGAAAGGAAACCTACAATACATATGTTTTTTTCACATCAAACAAAACCACAAGCAGTCAGTCAGTCAACTTTACATTATTGTAGTATAGCAATCAACATTAATTTTCAATCCAATGCAAAAAAAAGATTAAAAAATTTCTGACGTTTGTGTGGAAATAGTTGGAGAAAAAAAATGAACAAAGCAATTTAAATCAAAGAGTATTTCGGAAAAATAAATTAATTTTTCTTAATTTCCCAAACAGCTTATATTCAACTTGTTTTATTTGTGTTTGGTAACCAAAAACAGTAAAGCTATTGTATAAATAGAAGAATTTACCTCGCAATTAAAAAATTCTAAGATTCTCGATACAAGTACTGACGTCATGACCAATCAGAGCGCGTTTAGCGAACTTGATCCGATGAGCACATTTCTTTACGCTTTTTTCGCTAAAACTGACTCTATTGAGCCCGCCGCTGGAGATTTATGACAAATAAACTTGATCTATGGTCATTATCGAATAGGAATATTTTAAATTCACGTTGACATTGAACTTTGCACTCGACCTACCTGCTTTTTCATTTTTCGATAGTTAGTAGAAAAATTAAAATAAATCGCAAAAGAAACGTCTTTCTCGGTTGTTCCACATTTATGAAATAAATTTAAAAAGCTTTTGACTTCATTGGTGCTTAATCTACCACCGTCAACCAATTTCAACAGTGAATATTAGCGAAGTTAAGGGACTCGTTTGATATTAAGTTTCGATTTCACCCCTTCTTGAAAACTGAAATTTACCAACAACAAAAATCGGATATAATAACATTTCTAGCAAGGACACGAAAACATTGTTCAATTATTATTCGACAAAAATTTGGCTAGAATCGGCTGCAATGATCCAAAATTTTAAAAACGAGCAAGAACGAAAATATATTGTTCTAAGTTTGTGACGGTTTCCAAGTTCAAATTGATTGCTCTAGATGCAATTGCGTGCTTGTGATATTTATTCATTTAAAAAAAGACACTTCACCTAGTTATTATTGTATATTCGAAGTCAATTAAGCTTTAAAAAAATATACGAGTAGATTTCATTACAAACATTTTTGTAAATTTTACTATTAGGAGCATCTTACTGGTCATTTAAAGAAAGGTTCAATTCGACAAATGAATAAATGTTTTGAAGTTCCAATTTAAAAATAAGTTTTATATTCCAGTGCCGTTCGTCGCCTTGCAGTATTGTTTGCCAGCTAATGTTTATTATGGAGGAATAGAAAGTAGAGACGGGTTCGTTAACACCGAAGAATCGCATTGCTTCTTCCTCTTTGACCTAAAGTCATCCCACACCGGGTGCCTGGTTGCGAGCTTTCACGCGCCATTGTTTTGTCGTTTATCAAAGGGAAACGCACTGAATTTCTCGAGTCATATTTTAACTCACTAGCTGACTAAAGAAAGAAGTTTTAGAATAACCATATCCAAAATTATCGAAAATAACTTAGAGCTGTTGAAGTTAGGAAAAAGTAATGAAGAAATCAGAATTTACCGATTTTGCTTATAACCAAAGGCCTTTTTTGCCGATTTTGCGGCTGATTTTAGTCTATGTTATCGACAGAAATGTCACGCCACTTTGCTGGGATTGTGAAAAACTGCCCCAAGCTAGGAAAACTCAGCACTGATCTGTACTGATTGTGTCGTGATGCCCTCAAAAAATAAACCTTTATTCAAAGCAATTTGAAAAACCATAGCCTTCAGAAATTGCAATTCAAAACGCGTTACGGTGCCGGGAGTGAAAGGAAGATGACCTGAGATCCACATTGAAATGTCAAAAGTGAAAATCGACACAAATTGCCTACAATTCCGGGATGGGTATTAATACTTTGTTGTTTTAATTTGTCGGTCGAAACGGGGCTAACCTGCAATACGATGAAAATAAAAATAAATAAAATACTTATTAAAATTAAAATAGGGTGTTCATAAAGTACGAAGGAATGAGTTATTTAAAACAAAGTTCATATTTTGTTTTTTAAAATTCTAAATGTACTTTACAAATATGTAATTAATATTTTTCTTAAATGAAACTCGTTTTTTAGCTTGCAACCTAAAAATGCAGTGTTTTAATTTGGCCTTGTGCATTCTACAAATATCGCCACCAGTAATTTATTACGTAATTAAACCACTTTATTATTATTATAACAACAAATCGTCTTCATTTAGTAAATTGTTCTAACTTTAGGCAACCTTTAATTATCCTCAGACTAATAAAAATTAATAATAATAAGATGACACGCAACAATCACGGCTCCAATGCTTAATGATGGAATTACAAAAAGGGAGCCTTTTTGTAATTCCGCTTTACCAACCAGAGAGAAAGCATTTGAATCAGAAGGGCGAGAGAAGATAATAATAGCATTACGATTTAATGGTTTAGAACTGAATAACTTAAATGTTTCGGGAAGAACATAGTAAAACTTCACAGCGTGACAAGAAAAAGCCTTCTTAAAATATGATTCTCATGGAACTGAGAATCTCCTATGTATAAACTATGCGATGGTGAAATTGATGTTTATCACTAAGATCTGGAAAATCTGACGTATTGATAATCTTGTCAGTAAAGCTTAACAATTTATGATAAAAATTATCCTCTGTGGTGCGCGTAACTCGATTACGAAAGGTAATATACAACAATAAATAAAAAACTAAACACCATTGTCTCTTAGTGTTTTCGGCAAACTCGCCGTCAACGCGACTTCATGAAGCGATTAAGAGTTGTGAAACTGTGCACAGAGATCGCAAGAAACAAAACAATGGCATCATTGAAAGCAATAGAAATCCGCCATTATCTCAATGTTAATAATTAACGACCAAGAGCCCTGGAATCACGATACCGGAACAGGTGTCCTTGTTGCAAGCAATAACGTGGGGGAATCAAACATTGGCGCGCGCACCGCGACTAGGAGAAATAATAGACGAAAATCATTAGCGTCCAACAAAATGCAGTTACCACATTGAGACAAATATTTTATTTACCACCCATCAAGATTCGTGTCATGAAATTTTACAGTTATAATTGTTGCCTTGCCCTATTTTTAATTTAATATACGAAGCTACCAAGTTTCTATTAATCAGTAACATTTTATTAAGCAAGATTGCTTTGGAAAAATCGTAGCTGGACGTGGCAAGTTCGTAGCGCGTAGCGCGAAGCAGGTTTGTATTTCAAAAAGAAGCCGCTTTGCGGTTTCTTGTCAAAAAAGGGACGCTTTGTTTTTCTATCGTGTTCCTGCTTGATAACAATGGAACTTTGGCAAAATCGATGTAATTGTATTGTGCATACACCCAGTATAAAGCATCTTTCACGTATCGCCAAACTTCAAAGCCACCGCAAACTATGATAAATATAAAAATTTGTACAAATGATAGTGATTTCCAATGAAATGTATGAAATCTCTCGCGTATGTGTATGTGTATGATACGTGTATGATAGACGAAACCTGACCCTCTCGACCCAATTTACGATACTGCTTAAACCAAATTAACGTATGTTTTATTGTTTTTCATTTACGACTAAGAATTTAACCAACGAAAATGGCAATTTGCAGAGACTTTTTGATTTTTTGCTCATAATCGACACACCCTGTACATAATTAAATTAAAAAAATATATAGAGGTTATAGCCCTGAATCTCCTACTTTTCCTGCTCCAATTTACCGATAGAGTAAATGGTTTTCGAGGAAGTAAGTTTTTTTCTGAAACCATGACGGCATCGTGTCTTGACTGCCGAGGAATAGTGATTTTAATATGGATTTTTTTCAAATATCTCAAGCAGCATGTGTGATAGACGAAAACCGTAAAGACAAAAAATGTCATTAGTCATATTCTTTACTATTTTTGATTTGCGTTTAATAATTTACTCTTTAAAAGAACAATTTTCTGGGTCTTTTACAGTTTTGTCTATTATTGGGAAACCCTGTATATAATCGAAAAAATGCCTGAAATAAATGTTTTAGCACTGGATCTTCCGCGTCTGCTGGTAAAAGAAAAAAAATTCCGATTGAGTGAATGGTTAGGGAGAAAAGCATGTTTTTCTGGAAGCCAAAATAACCAACAAAAAAATTCAAAATTTTTCAAAAAATACTGGGTTAAATTTGATTGCACCCAATCTCTACTATTTAAATGTGAGCAAAGACTTTTACTTCTCTGCTAAATTTGACGTCGATATCGAAAAAAAAAGATAGAGGCCGAAGCTTCACCGCAGCCATCTTTACATATCTTATGTATCCTGTGGATTGTTAAAAAAGAGCAAAATTTGAAGCGTGTACCTTCACCGAGATCCCGAGTTTAGTGAGGAGCGCGATGAAATCGATTCTTTTCGAAAGTATTAAGTACAGAAACATCTTCATCAATGTTCGTTCATTGTTTTACTATTGGGAGACTACGAAGATTGTGCACACGTCCTTCAACTATATGCCGCCATTTTCTCTTCCTTATTTAATTCTTTCTAATAAGAAGTAAACATTCAAATCGACATACCGTTATGATTTAGATAAAATGCACGAATTGTTTGGCCCTGCCGTGTCTTACTTAAACAAACATCGTGATAGCGAATCATATCGAATAATGCTACCTCCCGTAGGTTGTTTAAAAAGGTCATCAATTCCATTACAATATCGCATTGAAAAATATCGAAATCTAAATATACATTTATATATTATGGATATTGAATATTTGAAATCGGTCTTTTTTCCTTTCCAGAGTTGGGACAGTGAGAGTGATTTTTTTATATATATTGTTACGGGAATTATGAATAATCGGACATTGCTAACAGTGTCCATGCAAATATCAATGGGAAAAGATCACTGTGGACAACATTTCGCATATAAGCACACTGCCCAACTAACCACAATTTACCAGTTTCAATTATCATCGTAGACATTTTTTGGGCATTGGTAACATTTGACTAATTGTTCACCATCCTCCAAACACGTACATAAATAACAGAACTTAACCAAAATTTTTATTAGTGAGATGAGATATTGCGATTATCTAGTCTAGTACTTGTTGAACATTTTGTTTAGAGATGTCCAGATACAAGTCGCTCTGATTAGAAAAGCTGACTAGATTGACAAACAAATTCCCTTAAGCGATAAAATTGTATCAAACAATACCAATTTTAAAGTAATAAAATTTTCAAATACTGGCATTGAAAACATAACGATTAACTTGGCGCAACACAATAGGCGATTATCAATAAAGCTTTTGAGACGAAATAAACATTTATTGCAAGTACCGGTTTTGCAAAATATGTGTAAGTTGAGAACAAACGAGCAAAATATATTTTTGCTAATTGATTGATTGAACAAAAATAATACTCCGAGCTCGTCCGAAAGCGAATTGAAGAAAAATTCTATTAATTTTAATAACACAAATTTGTTAATAACATATTCGCGCGAAAAAGGAAATCAGGCTTTTTGTTTCCACTAGAAAATAGGTACCATACAATTGTATTATATAACAATAACACCGTTTAATGCGTTTTTTTTTTTAAATCCCGGGTATAATAAAATGGCCACTCGAGCGTGAACCGCAATATCTGAAATGGATTTAATTACGCCGCAATTTCAAGCAAAACAACGAAAATCGGATTTTATGCAGCGGCAGAAATATAGTTGTTTAACAATTGAAATTTCTGTAATTTCGTTTCGACACGGGCTTCCTCCGGAATTGATTTTTAGCGATTTTTATTTCGCAAAAAACGTTCTGCGCTAATTTGAAAAATTTATTGTTGACCCTAGCATCGCAACGATAAATGGTGCTTTCCAATTTCCACAATTTCTCCAATTATCATCGAGAAACTGTAGAATTATGTTCTTTTCATTCGTTATCGTTTATACGATAAGGGACTTTCTCCTTTACGATATAAACGCGATAGTGGAAAGTCTTGAACGCAGTGCAGATTTGTGAAAATTGAAAAAGTAGTCCCTAAAAGCCCATCTAATTAAATTATGTCGGATCCATCGACTATCTTTTTTTTATAAGCGTGGCTATTAGTAACATATCCTAATGTTATCCCCCAAGGTCCTTTTTTAGTCGTCGATTTACACCTAGCAATTAGCGCCAAGTGTGAAAGAATGTTAACTTAAAGAAAATAATTATACTCAACGTATAGTCTGATATTTTATGAGTGTTCGTACCAAGTAGGATATTTTTTAATGAAATTCTTACCGGTGGCGGTTCTGAGGAACAATATTCTGACGGAGGGTAGTCCGGTTTGATGTTTACCGTCGCCATGGACTCTGCGTGTTGTTCTTTCTCCATGGTTATGGAGACGATCGGTCTGCGTCCAACGACGATAAAGAACTGAGGGAGACACTTGTAAACAGACAAGCAGGCAAACGCAAATTAAATTGCTCGCAGCTTGTATTCTTGGTTTCACCGGCTATTGCGATCGACTGGTAAGAGGTCCAGCGGAGCCCAAGCCTTGTAACCGATGCCCCTACCAGCTCCGAGCAGAGAAGTAGAAATTGTTAATTGCCAATTGTTGCTAAGGTATTTTGCTAAGGAAGTTTCAGAGGCAGTGGCGCGGCGTCCACGATGTTTCAGTGGCCATATTTGTAGCATATATTGGGTGTCCCACTAACAAATGGTGGAAAAAAAATTATGTGCCAAATAAGAAAATCGGATTTTTTAAAAAATTTTGGCAAGGAAAGAGGTTTTAGAAATAACGGCAGCATATTCTTTAGCAAATTTTTTATGTTTATATTTTTTCATTTAATTTATTTTTTCAGTGAAGCACTAAAGAAGTCAACACGACGATTGGCGAAACGTTAGCTAGTTCGACTCAACAAAAACCGACGCAGGAGGAGTCCAGAAGTTTTATAAAAACTTCCTATATTTTTATTTAAATGTTAGCTGTTGAGCGTTTCAGCGTTCCCTACCCATATTAAATTTTATAAACAATATTAATATACATTTTAAAGTAGAGATTTTAAGAGGGAGCTTAAAAATATTAACTACTAGTATACCAAACTTCACTCTACGCCCACTTATACTGAGAAGCTTCAATTACTGTCAAGCTTAAGTTATGAACACTATGAAAATGGCTGTATAAATAAGAATATCGCAAAACTATCCACTAGAAACATTTAGCACTTTAGGTCGAAACCGAAATAGTTTTACTACTCTGCTACTTATCAATATTCCATTTGACTAAATTTCTTTTGTCTCCAAAATTGAGTACAGTTTAACCAAAAAACGAGAATTAAAATTAAATTGGAAAACTTGGGATGAAAACCTTTTTCTTCTCATTGGAGAAAGTTTCGACATATTGGATAGTAATTATAAGTGTTTTTCCCATTTAAACTAATAAGTACTTAGTTAGTGGATATGTCATGCCCTACAGCGTTCATGTACAATTAATCTGAGTTAACGACGATGGCGTAAGAATACAAACAGGAAATGGTGCTGTGGCTTACCATTTAACAATTGTAAATAATCATTTTTAAATTATACGCATGCGTAAATCATTTCAAATTTATTCATATTTTATACAGAACGTTACAAAGCCATAAAGAGAGATATATCTGGGATTCTTTATTGGCAAAGTTTCAACTATCAAAGCTGCAATTTAGATAATTAATTTTTTTTGAAACAACCTTACAAAATGATTCTCACTGAGCTTTTCCATCTGAATAATTTCTGTGTATAATTGGTTGCATATTCCGTTCGAAACTCTTCCGCTTGAATTATGGGGTCCATAAATATTAAAATAACGAGTATTTGGAAAAAAATTTTACATTGTGGAAAAAAGACTTTCACAGTTATTTATTACAGTAATTAATTTATCCTTGAGTGTAATCAATAATAAAATTATACAAAAATTTCTAATCTTAGAAATAAGGAACATTTATTTCTATAAATTAATTTATTAACATTTCACAAGAACAGCAAGTTTTTTGAAAATTATTACTTTTATTATTTATTGGTTACTCATCTGCCTCCAAATTTATGTGACTACCAAACTTTCCATACAAGTGACCTTTCAATTCAGACATTTTTTCCTTTACATCGTCAGCTTTAATTTTTAACTCATTCATTTCCTCGGTTAGCTTTTCCTTTGCTTCTTCTAAACATTTCTGTAAAAGAAAGAAAATGTTTCTTATACAGTGACTACTTTAATATCATCATCATCGTATTATATATTATTTATTTCATAGAGTCCTACTTGTGTAGTGCCTAAATCTTGGAAGACAAACACTTCTCCTATAAGGTATGGAACTGGTTCATCTTCATCAAGTAGCTCTATTTCATCGGAAGCGTCTTCTAAACTTTTCAGGTCATTCTAAAAATCCACATACAATCAGCTAGTTTTGACACCACCTCAGTATTGTCAGTCCCGTACCTCTTTAGCTTTCACTTCATCCTTTAAATCCTCAAGCTTGGCATTAAGTCGGGCAAATATGTTTATTTTTTGTTGGTCTTCATAGGTTATATGAACATCCGAATCCTAAAATGAATATTTTAGAACTCTTTTCACTGAAATGTTCGACACGTACTGGTTGAAAAGTGCCTTTGTTTGTATTTGAAGCCATTTCGATACAACCGCCGTTTCGATTTACTCAATAAACATAAATAGCCAAATAAGGTTATGTCGTTCACAGAATAAAAATGAAGCACTGTCGTGTTCAACACAGAGTACGGATTCACATTGACACAGAACGTTGTTAGACAAAACAGGCATTCCCAATAATGTAATAAGGGAATACACTTAGTATGGGACTCAGCGAAAGTAAATGAAATGTTGAAAGATATTTTCTATTATAGGTGTTTAAAAGAATAAAACTGATTTTATTGATTTTAATTTTGAAAATTACATACAGCTTTTTTAAAACATTATTTAATTTCTTGAAATAAACTAACAGATATTTAAATGCTTGGGCAACAGACTTCAAGACAAAGCAATATTTAAACTTCAAATCCTGTCGCCTTCACCAATTACAAAGTACGCTGTTAAGGACAACCTAATGATAGATGATTAGATGATACTGATGATGATTGCGTACTGAACGGTTACCTAGGTTTAAATGAGTTGGACCAATTCTTAATAATCTGAGTCAACTATTATGTAATTGAACATAAACGGAATTGATTTTATATCGATAAGAGATATATTTACGAAGTGTGATTCATTTTATTTTTTGAATGATAAATAGAGCAAACTCGGAATAATATGATTTGCTGTATTATTTGAAACTGCCTCTTAAGATTGCGGTTATATGTACAAACTTGGTGCCTGAATTGTATCTGTTTATTTTTTCAGAAAATTTTAATTACAAAATTTGTTTGTTTGAATGTGCTGCATGCCGTAAAAATAATTATACGGGGTATCTCATTGTATTAAACTTCCTTATATTAAATAGAATACGCGGTATATTATTTTATTTTTATATTTCTGAGAAAATTTTCCTTGAATAATTTAAAAATTTTTAAAACAAATTTTTAACAGTTTTTGGCTCATTTTTATCGCCTGTATGGTAAAATAAAACATCTGCCGAAGAGTGGCCAAAATATATCAATCGTTTATTTATATCATTTTTGATGTTGTAAAACTTTGTTTTTTAAAATATGTAATACTCTTTACCAATCTTCTGGATTCCTCCTGCTCCGGTCGTTTATCAATCAATGACGTTTCGCCAATCCTTCTGTTAGCTTTTTCATAGTACCATGTTACTATTTGATGGTGTGACGCAAAATTTAATTCCGCAACGATGGGCTCTCTCTATACGTATTTTCAACAGTTATGTTATTATTTCATATTTTCTATCAATTTATTAATTTCTGTCTATGCTGTATATTGCTAAATTTTGGACAGCCTTTAATCGATAAATTAATTTCCAAGGACATACAAACGAATTAAAAATAATTAAAAGCGGATTGTTTAAAATGAAGTTATATCTTTGATTATACATTTTGAATAGATTTAATAGAATTGAATAGTCTATTAGATAAAACAGCTTTCACAAGTATTTCTTTATCAATAATGCCGGCCATTATGTTTATGGAAAATTGATATTGTCCACTACTGAACATAGCCCTCCCTCAAATTTTTGCCACTTTTCGCTGGATTAATTCAATGGCTTCTTGATTTATATTTTTGGTTTAAAAACAACAAGCAAATGATTAAAATTGCAAAAAAATGTTTTGTAACTATTTCTGGACCTATTTATGTATACATGAATTATTTTTGGATGACGAAGCGTTGGGCCTATTTTTGGAAACACCCTGTATACGTTTCAAAGTACTTATTTTTTAATTTTGAATATATTTTATAAGAAAATAAAACAAATTATGAATCATGGAGTAAGATCCGCAAAGCGACCCTAATTTTAAAAAGTTATATTGAGCAAATACGACTGATAAGACGCGCGTCATATCTTTAGGTAGGGACGGACATTTGCAATTGGCAATGTCACTCGTATACCTTGATTACATTGTTCTTATCAGATGGTGATTAATTGGGAAATATATATAAATCCTGGCTAAGTTTATTATAGCTTATTATAGCCGGTTTTACAAAACGCTAGACCCACATAGCGTAATGGCAAAAGTAAATGGAAAATTCGAGTTTGTCAGCCAAGAAAATGTTGGTGATTACTATAAGGCGGCTGGTAAGCGCACTTTTATAAAAAGTAACTTTTAGTGCCCAATATTTGCGGGGTATTATTTGTTTTATAACTAAATACTAACTGAATTTGTTGGGTATTTTCGAACAAACTTCCTAATTTTATTGCTAAGGGGGATAGCATTTTTTATACGTAAATGAATCTTTTTACGATATTGAAATATAAACATGTTCATTCAGACCACATCACCGTTTTCAGTTTGCGAGAAATGATTATTACTAAGTAATATTTTACCTAAATAATTGCAGGCTTTCCCGAAGAAATTGCCAAGGCGTTTGAAGCCGATGTGAAGCCTATTGCCGTGTCTGTTATTGGGGATAAGATTACTGTAGCGGTAGGCGACCAACCGCCTCTGGAATATACAGAGGGAAAGGAAATCGGCGTAAATAATGCTGATGCTTCGATCACAGTAAGTAAGCAACATTGTCTCTGTTATTGTTATTCAATAACTGCAAATTGTTAACAATACTATAAAGCTTGAAAAATAAATAAATAAATGAAATAAATAAACATTGACAGTTCAAATATTTGTGCATAAAGTATTGTTAATAATGAAAACGCCTTTCTTTACAAATCTTGATAAACAAATAGCAATAAATACCGAAAAAAATAGTTTTTCAATTATTCACTGTCTAAAATTAGATTACTAAATTTTAAGTACTGCACTCTGCGATCGATTTAAAAAATTTTGGCAAAGATAGCCCAAATATTACCTCATAATAAACAAACCCCCATTTAATCGCATTACATTTACATTAAAAAATTAAATAAAAATTGGTAGGCAGCTGTCTATTAAAAAAAGTTTCCGCGAAACCCTTAGATACTTTACAAATATATGGAAGTATCTAGAATTTGTCAAAATCGGGTCAAAAATAAAAGGTTTATGAATTATTTACTTTGCTTTCTCTTATATACATTTTCAGGATTTCATTCCGTGAGTAAGAGTTTATAAAAATAATCAATGTATTTACGTAACCAGGAAAGTTCAAATTAATACCAAATTTGTTGTATTGGTATAATCAATCAATATCAAATTGTGACAAAAGTGAGCCCCCGTAGATTACAGCAACCGTAATAAAAACTCTAAAAGAAGTGTGTTTTGCGAGAAGACCGTAAATATGGCCCGAAAGCCTAAAAGCGCACGAGTATATTGCAAGATTAACAGTTGCGAAAAACAAATATCTGAAAAACTGGAATAGACTTCCTTTCATAAGAAATGCCGTTAATAATCTAATTTGATCTTGCATATAACATGGCTGAATGGGAGTTTGCCTTAATGAGAACAACCGAAGGGAAAGTGGTATTAAACTAGGCAATTTTTACAACTTGCAGTTGAATAGTATAGAACTTGGTACCGAAATGGAATAATTAGTAATATTGATAATTTCATTTAATTAATTGAAAAGAAAATAATCTTCAATAATCATCATTTATTTTTGTATAATATACAATTTATTAACCAATTCAGGGTTTCGTCAAGAGAAAATAAGTGCCAAAAATCTTCTTTCAATTTTATATCATTGTTAGTGGTTTATCTTCACAATTCTAGAAAATAAAAAATTCCATGTTTAACCCTGAACTACTATCGTGGGGTCAAATCTGGCTTAATTAACTTCTTCTGTGATTACCTGGCAGACGGTACCGCGCGTGACGTTGTCGCGCTATATACTCTTCCACCTAAGTGAATTTGACCCCGCGATAGTAGTTGCGTTAATTTTATTTTAGTCTGAATATCTTCTAATAGTTATTGTTCGAATTGGCGGTATCACAGTGACATCGGACAATGTGTACAACTTTCTAGACTCTTTAAACGACCCACCTGAGAATGTTGAAGATAACACTGACAATAATAACAGTGATACAGACAATGAAACACTCTGACCATGATACAGACTCAGAAATCCATCTAAGTAACGCAGATTACATAAGCGACGAAGTTCAATCAGCATCTGATGAAGAATCGTACGAAAATTATTATTACGGACGCAACAGATATAAGTGGGCTAAAAATCCTCCGGCAGCATCAAGAGTTCGCGCGCACAATATTATTACGCACCTTGTAGGTCTTCGTGGACCTGCCTTACAATCAAAACCATCGAGTTCAATTGAATCGTGATCTCTATTGATATACAAATAAAAACAATACCTAACTAAATGCAAATTATGGAGATACATGCACATTTGCCGATCACGTAAGCGAAGCTGAACTCAAGGCCTTTTTGCGTATTTTACATCTCTCCGGTTTATTCAAATCCAATCCCGAGGATGTAGAATCACTATTTTCAACAAGTTCCTTAGGCGGGCCATGTCAAAGGAACGCTTCTTATTTCAGTGCCATTAGATTTGATAATCATGTAATAAGAGAGCAAAAAAAGGTCAGTAGTGGTAGACTTGCAGCAATATCCTATTTGTTCAACACTTTTATACCAAACAGTATAGCAAATTACACCTATTCCGAATATGTCACAATCGATGAGATGTTGGTTGGGTTTTGGGGCAGATGCCCTTTTAGGTTGTATATGAAAGCCAAACCGGTCAATTACGGCATCAAATTATGTGTCTATGTGATTCCAAGACACATTATTTGGTAAATGCTTTCGTGTATACTGGCAAAACCAATGAACCAAATCCTCTGAAGCTATCCATACCTACCAGATCAGTACTCACTTTAGGGAATCCAATTGCTAATAGTAACAGGAATGTTACTGGTGATAATTGGTTCACTTCATTAGAGCTGGTTAGTGAACTAAAGAAACTTGGACTTACATATTTGAGAACCATGCATAAAAACAAGAGGGAAATTCCTCCACAATTTGAACCCAATAAAAACTACCAAGTTGATAAGTGCCTATTTGGTTTTACTGGAGACTCTGTTAATCAGGAAACTAAAAAACCTGAGATAATAATGTTTTACAATGTGACGAAAGGAAGCGCCGATGCCCTTGACCAAAAATGTACCCTTTATCGTTAAGGTCGAAGATGTCGTCGATGGCTTTTGGTGATTTGATGCGCTATAATGGATATTGCTATGGTAAATAGTCATATCATTTTTCACGCAGCTAATCCTGGAATAAAAAAAAATCGCTCTGAGTTTATCAATGAGCATTTGAAAATAAGATTTGCTATGCCCAATTTGTCCAGAGAACTTCGCTCATTAATCTGGAAAGCATTAGCTACTTGTGTCAAAAACATAAGTGTCCTTTTTTTTGCCTGAGATTAGAATATCTTTTTCTTCTGTTACAGGTGAAGATAGTATTATGAGAATCCTATTTGCAGAGAATAGACTTTTTGTTCCAATATTTTTTAATATTTTTTTTGTTCTAATGAACGTTTGTTTTTGTTTATATAAAAGTGAAGGTGTTGCTTATTTATGTTCTAATATATTATTTTTAAATATAAGTCTCTTTTTCTAAATATGTATCTTCTATATACTCATACATATATTTAAATAATTTGGTTTTTTTCTAGAGTGTCGCGAAATTAGACGGCGACACTTTGACAATTTCTTCGAAATTCGGTAGCATGTCCGAAGATAGAGTGTTGAAGTTTTCGGACGAGGAATTGGTTATTGTAAGTTCATATATTTTTCGGTCCAACGTTGGGTCCCTGCAACAATGTTTTGTTTCAGACTGCTGCAAATAACGCGGGGGCGACAAGCACGCGTGTTTTCAAAAGGGTTTGAAAATGCTACCTGTTAATGAATATTATTAATCTCTTATGCGTTTCTTGTTTCTTTTTCCTTATCCAAAATTTTCTCCATCATGATCATTGGGTAATGTTGTTGAAACCGATGAATTTTCGAAGATAAAGAAGAACGTATTGAGCGCTGTTGGTTTCAAAATGTAATTTTTTTATCCAAATAATGCTAGTTCATTATATAGGTACTTCATCAATAAGTGTAAAGTAAAAATATAAAAGATTAAAAAAACTAGAACAAAATAGAGTGGCGTAATTAATAAAATAATTTAATGCATTTTATCCAGAAGGGACTACATTCCTGTTTGTTTCGATCGCTTGGGATTCGGCAAATTCGAACATTCGCAAATATTCTCGTGAAAAGTAATTTACTCGAATAGGTGAAATTGAGTGTCCTACCCTTGCTTTTAAATTGTTAAGCTCCAAATAATTAAAGCACTAAGAAAAATGTTTTAATAATAATAATAAATATAATTTAATATATATATATATATATATATATATATATATATATATATATATATATATATATATATATATATATATATATATATATATATATATATATATATATATATATATATATATATATATATATATATACAGGGTTTTTCACTTAAAACTCCGTACGCCAATAACTCCAAAACGAAAAGAAATATTTAATTTATGTAAAAAGTAGTCAAAGTGTGGGGTCAAGTAGATATTTCCTAAAGTTTAAAAAATTCGACGCCTGCAAAGAGCTGGGCGTCGCGACGCGTCGAAAAATTATTCGATTGCAGAGACTTTGGAAATACGCTCATACAAAAGTACATATTATTTAAAAACTTTTTTGTTATTTACTCAAACTTATTTACTTTACCCGTTTCTAAGTTATACCGATTTAAAGTAAACATTTCTTGATTAATAAAAAATGTGATGAACGCTTATTTTTACAAGTATGCCATGAATGTTAGTTACTATGGCAACCATTGTTATCGCAGTTGTTTTAAGTGCAATTACAAACAATAGATTTCAACTATATTAGTATGATTTTATTTATTATTTTTTATTTTTATTATTTATATTCTCGGTTCAAATACCTCGTTACTATTTGGGCATTATGTGCAGGCGCTCCATCCTGCTGTAGCCACATATTCATTCTAGTGTCAAGAGGCACTTTTATAATAGTTCCGGAAGTGTAGTTTGAAGAAATCTTAAATAGCGATCTGCATTTAAAGTTCCTTCGTAAAAGTAAGGTCCAATAAGGAATCCATTTAATATGCCGCACCAAACATTGATACTAAAAATTCGTTGGTTACCTCTTTCTGTAATCCAACGAGGATGGTTTTCGGACCAAAAACGACAGTTGTGTCTATTAACGATTCCATTATTTTGAAATCGACTTGTCTCCATAAAATTTTCGAGAGAAAATTTGCATCTTGGCTATACAAATCGGACAATGTCGCTAAGAAATACATTCTTCTAACATAATCGCCTGGTTCTAGTTTATGAACTAGTTTACTTTTGTACGAGTGAAAAGAGTTTCTATGTAGAATTCTCCACGAAGAACTTATGGTAACACCGGTATTTTCTTTTATCTCTGATAGGGATATCTTGGGGTTATTATCAACCTGCTGAATTACAGCAGCAGTATTTTCATCATTTGTAGCCGTCCTGTTCCTATCTCTTTTAGGTTTTATGAAGCTGCCATATTCTCTTAAGTTTTTACATAAACTTGAAAAGGTTTTTGCATCGGGGACTCTTCTATACGGATAACGCCGTGCGTAAACTCTTTTTGTTTCTCTACAATTGCATCTGCATTCTCCAAACACCAGTAACATGTCTACTTTTTCCTCATTGCTAAATTGCACCATTTTCACATAATAATTCTTAGTTTTTTTTTAAACCGAACAAATTTGGATATTTCTTGTGACAAAATGTGACAATTTTTTGATACAGCAATAACAACTTACGTTTGTAATTGCACTTAAAACAACTGCGATAACAATGGTTGCCATAGTAACTAACATTCATGGCATACTTGTAAAAATAAGCGTTCATCACATTTTTTATTAATCAAGAAATGTTTACTTTAAATCGGTATAACTTAGAAACGGGTAAAGTAAATAAGTTTGAGTAAATAACAAAAAAGTTTTTAAATAATATGTACTTTTGTATGCGCGTATTTCCAAAGTCTCTGCTATCGAATAATTTTTCGACGCGTCGCGACGCCCAGCTCTTTGCAGGCGTCGAATTTTTTAAACTTTAGGAAATATCTACTTGACCCCACACTTTGACTACTTTTTACATAAATTAAATATTTCTTTTCGTTTTGGACTTATTGGCGTGCGGAGTTTTAAGTGAAAAACCCTGTATATATATATATATATATATATATATATATGATGACACTATATTCCGGGATATCATCCGTTCGCTCGTTGAACTCCGACTGGAATCCTGCATCCGACTGGAATCCTGCAAATCTTGCATCCGACTGGAATCCTGCAGACGTTTCGCCAAAATCTCACTTGGCATCTTCAATGCTCGCGCTCCGAAAACACTTCGAACACTGGGAGGTTATCGGCGGTGCGTGCGGTATTTATACTCTGCGCCGGAGATGGTAACGGTGCTGCTTGTGCGTGGGGGGAGGTGGCTCCGCCCCCTGAATTGTCGCGTTGTTAATTTCGCCCGATCGTAGTTGCGATGTCCCCGTTGGCTGCTGCGCATCGCTCTGCTGTTTGATTATCGTTCTCCACGTGTTGGATAAATGCAGAGCGTCGTCTCTCGTATTGAGGTGTCCGGACTTTTCTATTTCGATGGCCTCTCGTATAATCCTAGTCCTAAAATCAGGAATGTTAGCTATTTGTTTGCAAGTGCCGAAATCAATTTTATGGCCTGTCTGATGTTGGTGCTGAAACAAAGCAGATGTTGTTTGTTTGTTTCTTATGGCTAAACGATGTTCCTCGAGCCTGGCTGAAATCCTTCTGTTGGTCTGTCCCACATACGTCAGGCTGCACGATCCGCATGCTACACTGTATACTCCTTGGTTTTCCAGAGTAATTTTTTGTTTTGGGTTTCTTAGTATTGCTCCGATGGTATGGTCAGGTTTGTATGCCGTTGATATGTCGTGTTTCCGTAATATTCGGCCGATTTTGTCAGTAACCCCCTTGATGTATGGCAGGACAGCGATCGATCTTCGTTGGGTCTCGTCCTGCACTCTCTGCTGCGGCTGTTGTTGTTTACTGATTGCCTTGTTGATGGTGCGCCTTTGGTATCCGTTTTGTTGAAGACAGGTACTAATTTTCTTCAGTTCTTTATCTCTGTTCCTCTCGTTTGTGAGCCTGAAGGACCGAGCAATTAATGTATTTGCCACTGCCTGTATCTGTGATGGGTGGTGATGAGATTTAGCGTTCAGGTATCTATTAGTGTGTGTTGGTTTTCTATAGACAGTGTGTTCCAAGTGTCCATCTTCGGTCCTTGTGATGTGCACATCTAAAAAGGGCAGACTGTTATCCTCTTCAAGTTCTATTGTAAATTGAATCCTTGGGTGAATGGAATTCAGATGATCTAGGAATTTCAAAAGCTCCTCTTTGCCAAAAGGCCATACAACAAATACGTCATCAACGTATCTTGTCCATAGTTTTGGCTTCAGATTTGCCTTCTCTATTGCTTTCTTTTCGAAGTAAATCATGAAGAGGTTGGCAATCACAGGTGAGAGAGATGATCCCATTGCTGCTCCATCTATTTGTCGGTAAATTTTCCCGTTGTGCATAAAGTAAGCGTTTTTCAGGCAATGTCTTGACAGATCCATTATGTATGGCGGAAGATCTTCGTTTTCTTCTATAAGCAAGAGTGCCTCTTCTACTGGAATACTCGGGTAGAGGGATTTGACATCGAAACTTGCCATAATGTCGTCCTTGTCCATCCTGAGAGAACCTAAAATCTGAGTGAAATGTTCTGAGTTTTTAACATAGGAATCTGCCTTTTTCACTATAGGCTGAAGTGCACTGGCCAGATGTTTTTCCAGCTTGCATAATGGTGAGTTAAAGGCGCTTACGATTGGACGCAGGGGAACCCCGTCCTTATGGATCTTTGGGAGCCCGTAGAATTTTGGGCAACGACTCGATTTTTCCCTCGGAATAAGTTTCTTCTTTGTATCCTCGTTTATTGATGAATCGAGAATTTTGGACTTAGTTGTTTTTTCCAAATATGTCGTGGGATCTCTGGTGACTAGTTTGTATATTGGGTCGTTCAAAATATCCTCCAATTTTGCATTATAATCCGACGTATTCATGACGACAGTGGCATTTCCTTTGTCTGCTGGCATTATTAGAATGTTTTCGTTTTTGTTTAGATTCCTTAAGGCTTGCATTTCTTCTCTGCTTAAGTTTGGTTGCGGTGGTTTTGACTGTCTTAAGACTCTGGCGACATCTTGCCTAATTAACTCCGCATCTTGTTCGTCTATGGTGGAAAGACTTGCTTCGACGTTGGAAACGATCTCTTCGACGGGTACTCTTTTTGGAGCTATTGCGTAGTTAAATCCTTTATTCAGTACGCTGACTTCTGTATCGGAAAGATGGTATGCTGAAATATTATGAACTGTACTGCTTCGGTTTGTATTTGGCACTTGTCCTGATTTTTTGGAATTTGACTGAAGGATTTCTAATTTCTTCCACAGTTTTTTTGACGTGATGTCCTTGTCTTTCTCAGTGCGCCATGATGTTACTAATTCTATGCGGTCCCACAGCAACTGATGGATCTTGTTGCTCAGTTTCAGGTGGAGTCTGAAAAGTTGTAGCTCAGTCTCACTAATTTCGTACCGGGTCCGCCTGATCTGGTCTTGGAGTAGGGCCTTGCTAGCTTTGTCCAGGATAGCTTGTGTCTTTCTGGTGCGTGTGTGATAAGACAACCTTGTAAATGTTGGCAGCAAGTTCTGGTTGCGGCAGCTTTTAAGAAAATTCAAGTTGCACAGCGAAATAACCCTCCTTTGTCTTAGTTTTTCATAACACTTGGTGGCTGTAAAGATCTCCTTCCCGTAA